CCCATTTGGCTTTGAAGCGGACTCTTTCGGAAAGCCATCTGCCAGCCAACGATGCAAACACCACGTGCCTAGTGAGCAAAACACCAGGCCCGTGACAGGCACGCGCCGCAGACCAGCACCAGCACGATAGGTGTGCAATTCTGTCGTCCAATGGCAAAATCCCATATGTTCATTTCTAGCCATTTTGCGATTTTTTATGTCATCTGATTCGTCTTCTCATGCTGCAGTTCGGATATTCAAACCAAAAGTTGAGATTTTCACAGACTTTTAGCTAAAAGAATGGGCTAAGAGTTTGTGAAAATTTCAACTGATTGTTTAAATAACCAACGTCAGCGTGAGTAGATGGATCAGGATGACATAAAAAGCGCAAAATGGCGAAACATTAGCATATGGGGTTTTGCCTTCGGACGGCAGAATCATCCAGCGTATGGCACAGGCAGTGCCGCTACATCGGTTACACACGCAGCCCACACATGGCCGCCTCATTTGACATGCGTTATAGGAGTCAACGAGCCATCGACACACTACTGAGAAAAGAATCTGGGAAAATGAAAATAGCTTTATTTTGAAAGCGCTTGCGCAATCAGTGCGCTTCGATCACTACTTTAGACTGGCATAAACAGAAGCGTGAATTCAGTTCTACGAGCACATATAACATGAACTCCACCCATCAGCTCACTTTTCGGCAGTTCTCCTCCAAAACAAAAAGGCCTGGAAGCCTCCAAACAAAGCAATTTCAAAGCATGCCAAACGGAAAGCATTCCGGGGTGACATGTACCTGTAGGGGGGGTCGCAGTCGGGACGTGGCCCCGGCGCTCCGCCTGCTGATTGGTCATCTCCGCTCAGCCGCCCCGAGCTGACGACCAATTGGCTCACGTTGGGAGGAGTCACTGTCGAAATCTTCTTCTTTCCAGCCGCCCCGAAGGTGAAAAATCTGTGATGAAAAGGCGACGTCTTTTGTCAGAGGATTTTACCGTATGGCAAATAACGGCTGGAGGTTCAGGCATCGCCCTGCGCTGAACACAAACGGCTGGTGCTCTTTGTCCAACAAAGATTACTGGTCATGGCAGCCATAGCGTTAGTTCTGAAATATGTGCAATCGTGGAAATAGTGAACCAGTGCTGAGCAGGAAAATGAGCTCAGCAGCCCATGCTGGGACGGCTCCGAATTTTTTTCTCGTCATTTCTGAGAAAAATATGCTGCGTTTCCTGATTAGTTTTCAATTTATGGTTACTTATGTCAATAATCTGAACTTACATAGAAGTATTTCCACTGTTTTTATTCATTATGCTTCAGCCTTTTATCATTTCATAGACAATTTCTTGGTTAGTCCATATACGTAATGCCGTTTACTCCAATAAAATAACATAAAAAACCTGCATGCGTAAGAAAGCGGTGCAATAATTTCAACCACGCCATTTTGCTCTGGACTTGTTTGTTCAAGCATTGTGGCTTGCCTTGCAAAATTTTAAAACATTCCCAAAAGCGGCTACTTTGGCACAGATAACACGCTTATTTTGTCACATACGTGTAGTGTCAATCAATCACCACTGCGTATTGTTTACTTGTCTTTTAAAGGACATGTTTAGGTGTTCGTAGGTTGAATAGGTTCAGAAGCGCTCGGACGTCTACAGTTTTTTCACCCGCAGGCCTCATTTACTAGCCAAACTTTCAGCTGGGACTGCTTTCTTTCTGCACGGGACGGGTATTTGGGTGTCCTTTGACCGACGGCGCGTGAGTACTATGGATGAGAAAAACTGCGTGCAAATACGCAGCAGCTTGATTACACGCGGGTGCCGATGGTCTTGGAGACAAGGGCTTACACTACTTCCCGGCAGCTCTGGTGACTCATTCGCGGCACGTGCAGGGTAAGTACAGCTCGGACCATGTGACACAGCCTCTTAAGCTACGGTGGTCCATAGTCAGACCACGTGATCCAGCCTTCGGCGTCACGCAGCCGTTGGTCAGGTGCGATAAACGGCTGCGGAGGTCAAGTGACAATGCCCCCTGCCAAAGAGCCTTGCGTGCGCGTCGTCCATCGTCGGCACTTGCTAACGTGATGAACACTCCGGCAATGTCAGCAGACGGACATGGCAAACAGGACACCATCAAGCCATCAATGGCTCTAAAAGGTTCGATGTGCCAATCTCTTTGATGAACTAATGGAAGCCGTGCTTCACCGCGACAAAATCCGGGGACATCGATGCGTGCCAAAGGACCGACTGCGATTGGATTTAACATCGCATGGAATGATATAGTAAATTCAATGAGACGTGAACTTTGCAAAGAAACATGCTGAAGACATTTTTCTGTGGAATACCCATTTGCCGTCATATTGCTGTCATGCATATATCAATAGTATCCAAAGTTACACGCTAAATGCTGCAGAGTTAGGGGAGAATTTTCCCTTGAGAGAGAGAGAGAGAGAGAGAGAGAGAAGAGAAGAGGAGAAGAGAAGAGAGAGAGAGAGAGATAGAGATAGAGAGAGAGAGAGAGAGAGAGAGAGGAGAGAGAGAAGAGAGAGAGAGAGAGAGAGAGATATAGATAGATATATCTAATGATGAGATATATATAGATGAGATCTGATCAGGATATATTTATCAATAGATAATATATTATATCTTCTATATATATATATATTATATATATATATATTATATATCGAACAACTTTTATGATTGTGTGTGGGCTTCTTATGATATATATTATTATTATTATATATTCTATATATTATATATATATATATATATATATATATATATATATATATAATGCCCTCACACACAATTGCCAGCATAAATAGTTGCTCTAGCCGACTAGAAGCATTAGCTCTTTTTTTAGCTCTAGCGTTTTTAGTTTCTATATTATATTATATATATTATATGTATTTATATTAAAATTACCATAGCTCTAGCGGACTAGGAGCCTGTTGACGTTCCTACCATCGCACATAAATGGCAAATAAAGTTCTGAACCACAGGTTCTATCAACGGGAGTGAATTACTTCCTGGTGAGAGTCGTATAGAAAATCGCATGTACATAATTTGTACAAAGGCTGCAGTACTGGTGATGCATCTTTTGTTCAAGGGATTGTGCCACTTGTTGAAATTAAAGGCTGTGTTCCCCGTTTCGGGCATACTTTAAGACTGTACGCTGGCGAGACCTCAGTACCAGCAACGTATAGTAAAAACACTTGTCAGTAACTCTGTGACAACAGCAACACGTAATTAATATAGCAATTTTAATAATTGTTTAGTCCAAATGACACTGCCAACGTTTTTTCACAGCACTTTTTGTACTTTTTTACACTTTTTTTCTTGATAGCTTTAGAGTGTGGACCTAGTCGGCGACGAAAACACCTGTCGCAACTGTCGTCGTCATGACCGCGACAGAATTTCATGATCCGTTAATCTACCAGGGGACGTTGTCAGATGTTACGGGCTGGGTGTCACTTTCAGCACTTTTCAGCTGTTTTAACGCGCAATGGCGGCCTGCGGGCTTGACAGTTTCCCCTTGCTGGTGTGAATGGCGACAGTCCAAATAACCGTTCATGGTTGGCTTATCGGGTAGCGAGGGTCATTCACCGAGGATCGCATTTATTGAAGTTTAAGCCAGTGACCACGCAATGCCCTTGTTTCCCAAAGCTAAAGTACGCCTCGGAAGGAGTCACTGAGATTAACGCTATAGTGGATAAACTAAAGCGATAATACAGCATTTCGTCGAATTCTCGTGGCGATAGCCTCATTTCTATACTCCTATTTCCTTCAATTGTGTTTCAAGCTAACATAGCATTCATTACGCATGCATTCTGACGAATTCTTACGTTTCAAACATTGCAGAGCACCCACGTTGAAGTAGTCAGTTAACTAAAAAGTATTACTTTCATAGTGGTAAGTACTGGTCCAATGAGATTTCTCCCGTCGGCGGAGTGGCTAATTCAAATGAAAATTCTGCGTTATTAAGAAGCATTTCGAGAAAGGTGGTATTCACGATGAAATTGAACGTGTCTGATTTAACAATAAGTGAAAAATGTAAAAAGTGTGACGCTCCCATTACCAAAAGTCGCACCATTCTCTACCTCATATGGCATCTTTAGTTTTCTTTGCCAGTGACTCTCTTTACATCGAGCTCGTTTTGGAGGGGTTTAACTTCTGCATGGGTTCTGTGAGAACCAAGCGTGTTGTAGCGGTATTGGTAGCTTGGTAGTGTTACGATGAAAAGCTGCCATTTTTGCCAATGACAGAGGTTAAAAAAACACATAAACACAACACTTCCACCGCTTTGCATCTCTTGTTGGTGAAAAAGCTGCTATTTAAAACACAAAATTTTGTTCATCGTAGTAGTTTTGAAGGCACAACCCATTTCAATACAGCGGTGTTTCTGTCACTTCTTCAGGCCACGACCGCGACGTGGTGACGCGAAGCGACACGCGGCTCTGCACTGCACCGTGCTTCCAGACAGTTGCGTTACGTGGCAGGTTTCCAGACAGTTGCGTTACGTGGCGGCTTCCACGGCCTTGAGCAGAGCCACGGTCCGTCTAGATCAGCTTCGTGCCTCTCCATCAACTGCTTGGGGAGTTTCGACGCGTCATGATGTGCGATTTGCGACCAATAGTAAACAGAATGTATGTGCAGTTGCTATGAAAAAAGTGTCTACCATGACCCTGATCGCAAAACACTCGGAGACGTCCGTAAGTCTATAGATCAATGGTGACAGCAGCTCGAACATTGAAGGATGACCTTTTTTTGTTCACACGTTCGTCTCGTTTTCCACACTATTATTTGCCCACACAGGGATTTCAGGTCATCACCGAATGAAAAGAAAATACCGATTTAGCTTAGTTGCGTCGAGAGATTAGTCCCTGTTTCCATTATGACATTTGGTGATTGGTACCATCAGCTAGTAAACACAATAAAATAAAATTTTACTCCTCCCCTGCCAATCACGCAGGCTATCTCAACAACTTAATGAAAAAAGGGTAAATTTGTACGGTCAAAACAGGACGAGAAAGACGGGCGGCTAATGCGCGAGCCTGGCCATCCCAGAACGATTCGCGGCCAACAAACGACTTCTCCTCAGCGTTCGACACCCGTCAGCTGACCAACCGGCTGCCAGTGTCGGGCTGACGTCACTGACGTCACAACCGGCCGCCAGTGTGGAGCCCGTCAGCCGAACGGACGGTATTGATGACGAGCACACCCTGGCAGCGCCGCACTGACCTCCAGCAGCGAAGACGTCCGAGTAGCCGGGCTCAGACAATCGATAACATTTCCTGGACGGCTGGCATGCGCCTCCGGTGCGAGGCCAGCGGAAGTCAGCCTTATAAAAAGATGGCGGATGTTTTCAAAGAGCCCACCGCATAAGCTTTGCTAGGCATATTACCTCAAATAAAGCCAGAAACAAGTACATGTATGTTAAGCTTTAAACAAAGCTAGAATACGCTAACGACAAATGAAGCAGCGCCGCCTCCCCATTTTTCAGCACACGTATTACGGATTTACCATTTCAAATCAAATTACGGACTGTGGCTGTTTCGATCCGCTCAGAAGTCTGGGCCTAAGTACGTGGCAAATAGTGGTCTGTGCACCGCAGTGGTGCAAACCCAATAATCATCCACGTTCCTCGCAAGCAGCCTTCTCGCCAATCCGATCAGGTATGGTGCAAAACATTCACAAATTCAAACCAGCATCCCTCAACATTAGTGCACGTCACAAATTTACAAATCCCGCCATCGACAGTTTTTTGTACGGAATGAATCATCTACACCAACAAAGGGTTTTCAGTGGCAAGTTGTCACCTGCTTTAGTCCACCAGTGGTGGGGGGGGGGGAGGGGGGGGCGGGGGGCTATTTTCGGAAATGGTACTTAGTTCTGTGCCGACTTAAATGCATCGCGTCGTCACACATTTGGGAGCTATTCGCACCCATGAGGTGCCGTTTATTTCCAAACATGTTTAAAGCCCTTAAATTCATTTGGTTTGCGTGTAATACTGCTGACAGTTATGAAAGGTTTTGCAACCGGCGGGTGTGACACAGTGGAGGCAATATCATCTTATGCGATGCAAGAACTGCATACATTGCACAACAATAGCAGACAACATACCGTTCCTTGCCGTCTTCGCTGTGCTGTGTCCCTTTCACTGCAAACCCCGTCAACTCAACATCCCCACACGTAGCGCATTCGCATTTCGCTATCAGCTAATTCTGGCGATTTGTGTTTAACGGCACTATGCGTAATGTGCACTATGCACTGTGCGTAATGTGCACTATGTACTGTGCGTAATGTGCACTATGTACTGTACGTAATGTGCAGCCGTGCTTCCAGCCAGGAGCCTAAGGCTATCGGTGAAAAATCGTAGCTCACGTCCATAAAGCCACGACCGCATTACAGTGCACCATGCACAAGCGGGGTTGCACGGGGCGTTGGTTATTGCGTGCACTCATCACACAGGTGTCATTTAGAAAACATGCGCGAGGGACAAGTCTGTTTATCTGCGCGCCGCAGAGTTCTTGACGAAGGAGGCGATTTCGTCGCGGACACAGCGCTACATCTTTACCCAGATGACCTGTTCCATCCAGGATCGCACTATATGACGGAAGTCAAAAGCCGAAAACAGTTTGAGATGTTGCAGAACTTTCTCGCAGTCTTGACTATCTCGCTCTCCGCGCCAAAATTTCGTTCGGCGAACGACGCGTCAAAAAATACCCTAGCCACGTGCCCCTACAGTTCAATAACCACTCTCAACCACCGTGGTGCCTGGAGCGAAGTAGGCAGGTCTGCACATTCCGCAGTCGTGCCATGCTTGACCTCACCGCGCAGGTCGCCAGTTTATCATGACCCGTTGCCATGACAACCTCGAGAAACGTGGCAACATCTCCCCCTCCGGGGATGTTGTCACCAGCACGAAAGCCTGGACCGCGCACAGTTAGCGGCCCGCCAATGGCGTTGCCATGGCAACCGAACACGCAACCTACCGGAAGGTTTTCCTGTTAAACCTCGCGGGCGGAGCGGATCGACCGCGCGTTCTCAATCGCCGACGGCAACTGAGGCCGCGCGCCCCGGTGCCCGGCTGCACCACGGGGCGGCGCTACACACTACGATGTACTCACTTCTTTGTGGAGCTTGTGGAACTGATTGCGGGAGAGGACTGTGTCAGTAAGCGCTACACGGAGCCCATCGAGCATGCAGACTGCATGTTGTCGAGCTGCGGCGATCAGGGGCGGTCCTGCCCGAACGGCATTTAAGTATGGGCTTCTAGTGAGTCTGACGAAGCCGACATGCGGCTCCTTAGCAGCCGTATGAAAACACCGGAAACCTTTCTCTCGGCTCCGGCCTGCTTGCAAGCTGACCAATCGGCATCCAACACATCGAGGCGATCGGCCTCCCAAATCTGCCGAGCATAGCACCACTCGATAACGGCTTTGAACCAAGTGCCTATCTCCTGGCTGTTTGGCACGCAGCCCACTCCCCCAGCACGAGCATGACCGCCATCGTTGACGACGTCATTTGCTTTTTGATTCATTGGTGCCATCAGCCGAATGGGGTTCGTGAGTGAGTTACCCCCCCCCCCCCCCATGCTTGTCCCGTAATGTGCTCGTGGGGCTCCAGCCCGTGAGAGCCGCACAAGCAAGACTCGCACCGCTGCCATCATGAGCCGCGCGAAGGCCTGAGCCTGCCAGCTACATGTCGGTATTTGTAGTCCTCACCAAGCAGGCTATTATTTTTAGTCCTTATCAAGCGGGCTGCTACCTTCTATATTTTCTATTCCTCATCCCTAACGCATTTTCCAGTGCCGCTCGACAGGACCGGCCCTGGCCGCCGCTGCCCATATGTGGTGCCAGACATTGAAGCCATCAGGCGTGCGCCGGACTCCGCGAGCGGCCGGAATCGACTCCGGAGAAGGCCACATTTGGAATGGGTACGGAAAACGGACCAGTGAGCTGGAGCCAGCAAGTGGGTGAGCAGGGCATGTTTACCGGTTACAACCGGCTAACATGCTCAATGACATGAGACATGATCCAGCGACAGATGCATTTTCGGAAAACAAAACGATCGGAATCGACGTTATGGTGTTGTTCCTTTCAGCGCCTTTATGTGCAGATGAATACATAAGTGACTTTAATATAGGCGCATGTTCCATTGATCAATTTGACCCCGTAGTCGTGTTCAATGCCACCAGCTGAGCCAGAGCCAATAGTGAACTGAGTCAGAGTCAGAGTCCACTCCATGTGCGGTGAGCGGTGAGTCAGAGTCGATTCCGCAGACTCGGAGCCGGGCGCAGGCCATAAGCCATAACGGTGTCAGCGAGTCTACACAACGGCGATGCGCAATAGAGGACACACGGAGCGTGTTGCCGCGTTACAGGCGAGTGATGGGCCGCGGCGTACCAAGCCCCTCTTCCGATGCAATGCAAAGGTTCCGATCGTAGCGTACTGCATGAATGTCAAGATAGTCAGCGATCATTTTAAATTATGCGAAACAGATTTC